CTTGTAGGGCACTCTTGTGGGACACTCTTGTGCGACACTCTTAAGGGGCACTCTTGTGAGACACTCTTGCGGGACACTGTTGCGGGACACTCTTGTGGGACACTCCTGTGGGACACTCATTTGGGACACTCTTGCGGGACACTCTTGTGGGACACTCTTGTAGGACACTCTTGTGGGACACTCTTCTGGGACACTCTTTCAGGACACTCTTGTAGGAAACCCTTTGTGGGATACTCTTGTAGGACACTCTTGTGGGACACTCTTATAAGGCACTCTTGTGGGACACTCTTGTAGGGCGCTCTTGTGGGCACTCTTTAGGGACACTCTTGTGGGACACTCTTGTGGGACGCTCTTGTAGGAAACTCTTGTGGGACACTCTTGTAGGAAACTCTTGTGGGACACTCTTGTAGGGCACTCTTGTGGGACACTCTTGTGGGACACTCTTGTAGGAAACTCTTGTGGGACACTCTTGTGGGACACTCCTGTAGGACACTCTTGTGGGATACTCTTGTGGGACACTCTTGTGGGACACACTCTTGTGGGACACTGTTGCGGGACACTCTTGTGGGACACTCTTAAGGGACACTCTTGTGGGACACTCTTGGGGTGCGGGACACTCTTGTGGGACACTCCTGTGGGACACTCTTGCGGGACACTCTTGTGGGACACTCATTTGGGACACTCTTGCGGGACACTCTTGTGGGACACTCTTGTAGGACACTCTTGTGGGACACTCTTGTGGGACACTCTTATAGGACACTCTTGTAGGAAACCCTTTGTGGAATACTCTTGTGGGATACTCTTGTGAGACACTCTTGTAGGACACTCTTGTGGGACACTCTTGTAGGGCACTCTTGTGGGACACTCTTGTGGGACACTCTTATAGGACACTCTTGTGGGACACTCTTAACTCTTGTGAGACACTCTTGTGGGACATGGTTGCGGGACACTCTTGTGGGACACTCTTGTGAGACACTCTTGTTGCACACTCTTGTAGGACACTCTTGTGGGTCACTCTTATGGGACACTCTTGTCGGACACTCTTGTGGGACACACTTGTGGGACTCTCTTGTGGGACACTCTTGTGGGACACTCATACGGGACACTCTTGTGGGACACTCACTCTTGTGGGACATGCGGGACACTCTTGTGGGACGTACGGGACACTCTTGTGGGACACTCTTGTAGGAAACTCTTGTGGGATACTTGTGTAGGACACTTTTGTGGGACACTCTTGTAGGACACTCTGAGTCTCAAAAACGAGCGTTTCGTACGAGACTTTCTCCAAAAGTCACACGTCAAGTCTCCAAAACGAGCGTTTCGTACGAGACTTCCTCCAAAAGTCACATGTCAAGTCCCCAAAACGAGCGTTTCGTACGAGACTTCCTCAAAAACTCACATGTCAAAGTCTGCAAAACGAACGTTTCGCACGAAACTTCCTCCAAAAGTCCAGCGGAAACACCCATCGGAGCACACACATCACGCAGCCCTGCCAAGCAGTTTCGCAAGTCCAGCCCCTCCAAACAACACCCGCTCACACGCCAATCCCAATGTGACAGCGACATTCACCTCTACCACAACTCACGACCTCACGATTCCCTGCGCCTGCCACGAATCTTTCCGCGTCCACACGTCTAACGCGCACAAAGTACTGCGCCTGCCACGAAATGTCACCTCCGTCACACATCGCAACCTCACGATTCCCTGCGCCTGCCACGAAAATCCCACTTCCACACCTCAAAACCCGCACAAAGTCCTGCGCCTGCCACGAAAAGTAACAATGTCATCTCATGTGATCTTCAACAAAATTTGCACCACACCACACGTTTGGAATGATTTCGACCCGTTCTGAGCACACTCCCATCAACCAAAATCGGCATTTCAGCTGAGACTTGTCACGAAAACAGAGCTTCGATGCCACACACTGAAACGCAAATCCCAATGGCACGGCCACATCCAACACCCCAAAAACACGACTCTCCAAACGCTAGTCCCAATGGAACTGCGCAGCAATCTGCAGATCTCACCAAACGCTGGGCCTGTGCAGCGAAACGCATCACGTTGCTTGCGCGACATGTCTTTTTCATGCAAATCACAATGGAATAGCGGCGCAAACTGACACGTGACACATCCATGAATAGTCACTTGCAAAAGCTTCCCCCAATGGCAGCGCCTTAGCGCTCTACCGCGAACGGTTGCGAACGGTTGCAAACGGTTGCGAACGGTTGCGGACGTAGAAACAACGGATCGCGAACAATGCTCTACCCCCAGACCCCCAAGAGTTAAACGAGAACCCTTCGCTATGCATTCGGGAAAAAAAGCACTCGCTTTTTGAAACCTTTTTGTGCGCGCGCCCGTTTGCACACAAGAGCCCAAAACACCGGTATTTGCGAGGTTTTCCCTGGCGCCCCTCCAGACCACCTCTCATGTCGTCGCCCTGCAGGATTACCGAGGTATATAGGTCTTCGCGTGGTCTACGCATGTCTACGCTAGGTCTACATGTGGTCGGGGGAGCGTCCGTACCCTAGCGGGTAGCCGCCTTCGGCTGCGGGGTCCTGCAGACTTAGCCAGGGCCAGCCCCCTGCCAGCCTGATTTTTGCAGCAAAACACACAAACATATAAGAAACACTGTAAACATGGTCCCACGTATATAAATACTACGTTCTTGCATGCCTTGCTGAGGATCAAAAGTGGTAAAACCTGTAGCGCTTTTTGGACCTTAACGCAAAAACAACCAGTAAATACTTTTTGCGGACTTCATCGCCTGGCGCTCGCGCGTGCATGCAGAAGGGGACTTTCGCGCAGCAACAAGACCAATGACCAACAACAGGGACAGCGACAACATATGGCATCGCCGGTTTGCGAAGCTCTACAATATTACACTACAGTGGTAGTCACTACAGTATATATGCAAATTGTGTCTTTTGATATTCAACGACCACCTCAGACGCTGGCAAAAGTAACTCTGGTCTGCTCCAAATCAAAACATGCGTGCACTGTCGAAAACAGAGCGGAATGTGGACCCAAGATGACGGAAACCTGTGGCCGGGACATCAGGGGTTGGCCAGGAAACGCCTGTCAAATCGAAGCACCGTAACAGCATTCACCAGTGCAAAGTCGCGACAAAACCTTCACTCCCAACCTGAACCTGAACCATGAACCACTTGAGACTCCTGGAAACAAGACAAAGGGACTCAAACGGAGAATGTCAGGTTCTTAAGGTAACAAAGGTCCTGCATGGCCACGAGCAGTTGCAAAGCCTCGATCAATCACGTCGATTGAGTGCAAAGTCTGCAAATCCGCACATCTTGCGCAGCCTTCCGCCAGTGGAATGCTCTTTCACAGCCCACGAGCGTTGCATTGCAGCCTGGCGTTCTCCGAATACCAGGCTGCTATGCTGATGGCTCTGGGTGTGCAACTTTAACAAGCAGATTCCATGCCTGTTCATCTAGTACCCAGGTTCATTAAAAACTAGAGCAGCGGAAACCTGCAGGGCGAGGCACCCTGCAGAAGGAATGGTGCCCTTGCAGCTGTCTGTCCTTCAAGGCCATCCGATCTGCTTGCTCAAAACTGTCTGCTTCAAAGTCTCCTTGGATGTTGGATGTGGTCAATCCAGTCTCTTGTAGTCTCGGTGTCGCAGGTCTTCCATCATCCAACCTCTAAAGTTCTCTCTCTTTCTCTCAATGGATCAACAAAAATAGGCGCAATGCATGAGCTCATCTGCTCGGCCTGTTCAGCGACTCTTTTCCTTGTAAAGCACAGTCCGTGCACATGTGCACACAATTGCGGCACTCAATTGACCCAAGCGAGCCTGCAAACTCACCCGACTGGTTTGGCAAAGTTTGTGTCAGTGAAATGCCCAGCTCCTCAGGCAAGGAATACGTTTTACTGCTTGTTGGGAGTGAAATGTTTGTTGTGAATACGTATTTTTTGCACACCAATTCAGAGAAGAAACAAGAATGCGCTTGGGCCCCTTCAAAAGACCCTTATTGAAGGGGCCCAAACATCTTCATGGTTTCTTCTATGATTTAGTGTGTAAAAATATAGATATTCACAACAAAACTTTCACTCCCAACAAAAAACATTCTCGCTCGCTTTGCTGTTCAGGTAACAAGTGCAGCTGGACATTCACCTAGACTCAATTCACCACCACCCAAGGCTGCACGCTTGTTCTTTGGAAGCCAAATGCTGCCAGGGAGGAACACTTTTGAGTAGGCTCTTTCCGAGACGATTAGCATCAGCCGGCGGCATCTTACTCTGATAGGCGGCAAGAAACAACCATGCTTTGCCGGCAACTGATTCAATGCACCTGATCTCAGCACCGCGAGTACTTAGGCTGTCGCGGCATGCTTCCAATCTGCACAATCCAATAAATTATAGGCCATCCACATCACCCGGAGAGGTTCCAGAGAGGTCCACAGACCCAAGCTACAGCCACTACAAGATGAGCACACGGAGTCGGGTTTTCTTGCAGCTCTTTGAAGCGCAGCGATGATTCAAGCGGCTGACTGCTGACAACTCACAGACATGACCCTTCTAGGTGCAGTCCACTACTATTATGCGGAAGATAAGTCAAGTAAGACATTTAAGACCTGCGTGCTCACAAAAGTTCCAAGGTCCTCCAACAGGGAGAGGCTTCTTTGCCATTGCGAGGATCCTCAGACCCAAAAGGCAGCATTTGATTGAAATGCGCTTGACCCAACTTGCTTTGACTCTGTGGCTTGGGAGAGGCCAAGATCCTGGCGTCCACAAGCCACTATAGTCGCATTGTAACTCACAGTGGACCTTCAAGAGTTGTCGCACTGGTTCAAAAAGCACGCCACACAAACACGTCAAGTTCTCAAGCGCTTCACCGAGATGCCCTCTGCTCAGCTGCCTGGCGTGTGGAAAGAAAAGTAAAAAAGAATATCTAGTGGGCGCGGGTGACTTGGCTAAGGCCCTGAAGTGACATAGATGCCATATAAAACCTGTGTCATGGGGCCCTGTTTACTCCAAACAAACCCCAACTGGTCTATATCAATATCTATAGTCAGACAGGACTTGTGGAAGGTGAACGAGAAAAATAGACATGAATGTCCGGTATAGGCTCGGCTACTGTGATTTTTCTATCCAAAGCCTCCAGACCTGGTCTTGTATTATGACTTGACTTTCGACTTCAGATTTGAAGTTACTTCCGCTAAATCCTATGTTTTAGCCAGTAGTATATACAGAAAAGAAAGAGAGAGAGAGAGAGAGAAAAAAAAAAAACAACAACAACATTTGGAAAACAACTATATATATATATATACATCTATTTCGATAATACAAACAAAAAAAACGTTGCAACGGTGCAACGTGTGATCATCCTCGAAAGAGCGTAAAAAAATATGGCAATCCGGCTTTGGTCTTTGGGCCCAGGATCCTAAGGCTACATGATGTCAGTGACGCAGCTGTACTTTCAGCATCGCTTGCATTATCAAAATGAAAGTTGAAGATTGGGATTTGATAATTTTTTTGGGTGAAAAAAAAAGAGAGATAGAGAGAGAGAGAGAGAGTCTGTGTGTGTGTGTGTGCCACTCCCCGTCCCCAGAAAAAACCTTCTTTTCCCGTTTTTCGCGCCGAATCACAATATACGTGTATATGATGTATTTATACCATTTGCAGCCAATTTTGTATGATTTTTGAATATTATTTGATATTTGCTTCATTTTGCTATAAAAATGATAATGTTTATATAATAAACTTCAAAAAAATATCTGAGATAATAGTATGCTTATAGTATACATCTTCTCTTCAACATCTGGGGAAGGAACATTTCTTAGAAGCAGACTTACATTTTCAGCAAGCGATAGAGCTAAGTAACAGAAATGATAGTGGTTATATATCCAAATATTTACATTTTCTTAGGTGTAAATGACTGGTAAAAATGTGATTTTCATGTCACTAGGGGAAATAACTAATCAAAAGGTGAAAACTGTTTTGAACTTTAAAGATACCAAGCTTGATCTGGAAAACATCATCTTTTATCCACACTAATTTAATGTGTAAGTTGCTTTAGATCGAAGCGAACATCCTTTTGAGTCAAAATTTGGAATCAAAGTACAAAATGATACTTTTTCATAACACATAAAACGTGTTCATATGATATTACTGGTACATTCGAACTCTTTATTTGAATTATTAGAAGCACGGGAAGGATGAACCAAAGACTCCTTTGAAGTCAAGGCGCGGTATCACCAACCTTGACCAACGAAGCTAGGTGATATCGCGGGATATGGGACTTGGCCAGTCCCATGTACCTGCTCTAGTCTAGTGGGTGATTCTTATGTTTCGCCCGGAAACGGGAGGCAGGGTTCGTCGGCAGACTTGTCTGTCGGTTCCCTTTTCTTCGTCTACTCTAATGGAGCGATTCATTCGTCTCGCTCCCTAGCTAAACAGGAGGCTTCATTTTCCTTCTAGTCTACCCTAGTTAAACAAAACAGGAGGCCTCATTTCTTTTTCTACCTACTTAGAGCGATTCACTTGTCTCGCTCCATTGTGGATCCTACCTCACCACGCATGCCGTCAATTCAAGAGTGCTAAGTATGCAGTCACTAGCTTCCGTGATGCTTTGTTGAAACACCTACGGTCATCGCTTGCATTATCAAAATGAAAGTTGAAGATTGTGATCTGATAATCTTTTTGAATGAAAGAGAGAGAGAGAGAGATAGAGAGAGTGTCTGTGTGTGTGCCACACCCCGTCCCCAGCAAACTTCCTTCTTTTCCCGTTTTTCGCGCCGAATCACGAGCAGGGAAGGATGAACCAAAGACTCCTTTGAAGTCAAGGCGCGATATCAC